TGGTTACTTTGATTGCAATGGGCACACAAACAATGTATTCCAATAATTCCATGACATCTTAGCTCTACACGTCTTGCAACTTTTGTTGATTTTTCTTGCAACTTTTGCTATTTTCAAAAGCAACTTTCTCTGAGGACAGAACTGTTGGTTTTTATTACAGCATTCTTGGGTTCAACAGTAGTATAATAATAATGGGTGTTTAACAAAAATGGGCTTCTGTGGTGATCACCCGAAAAGTTCCTCCTTTTTTAGAATTCTGAGTTGAGACCCATGCACAGAATTCTACACTAGTGTAGAATTCTGTGGACCCATGTAAGATGGACAGACAGAAACAGCAGAGGGGAAGTAAGGAAGGACCCACCAGTGGTGCCCTCCAACCACCTGTCTTGTTTGTTTTTTTTCATTTCATTCAATTTTAAAAAATGTATTTATATATTTATTTTTTTTGGAAAGAATATTAGAAGTTGAAAGACCTGGTTTCTTTTGTCCCTCACCATGTAGCCCTTGTTCAGAGATTTGCCCGACTCGTGGAAGGAAAAACAAACTTGTTGCATGCAGTGCTCGCGCTGAGATGGAAACCTCTGTGTGTACTATAGTAATAGTAGCATTGTTTGTGAGGCATCGTGGTGAAATCAGGCGCTCAGCAAAACAATGAAATCAAAGAAACGTCGTTTTCCCATTTGTCAGACAATTTTTATTAACCTTAAGATCAATAAAATTAAAATTATCTTGAAATCTGAAACCCACTAGCTGTGTCTCTTTTTAAAAAAATCTCTATGGTACCTTTCACTAAAATGATAATTGATGATATCTATTGGAGACGGTTGGTAAAAAAAATATATGAATACGTTACTCATCCAGTGGCGACAATTAGTAAAAAAAATAATAATTTAACAAAAAGACGTGCGGTGGAAACAGTAAAAAGAAACAAAAAATAACATAAATAGGACATCTTCTAGTGGAGACGGCTGGTAAAAAAAATGATACAATGAATAACGCATCTTGTTTGGACGGTTGGTAAAAAAGAAAAATAATGATAAAATAAATAACACATCTTGTGAAGATATGTTTAAAAATAATTTTAAAGATAAATAACACATTTAATGGAGACGGTTGGTTTAAAAAAAATAATTGAACAAATGTCTCTACAGAAATGGTCACTAAAAATTAAAATAAGAAAATAGAATGATTCATCCATGGCAGACGATTGTTTAAAAATAAAATAAAATATATATATTTTATAACACATTTAGTGGAGACAGTTGGGGGAAAAAAGATCAGTTTCCATACGTCTCCATTAACTGCTGCATTTTATTTTATATTTTCAATCCGTGTCCTCTATCTGTATTTTATTTTCTATTTTACAACCGTATTCACTAGCTGTATTTTATTTTCTATTTTCCGACCGTTTACGTTAGCTGTGTTTTTCCCCTATTTTTCAACAGTCTCCACTAGCTGTATTTTATTTTCTATTTTTTAACCGTCTCCACCTTCTTCATTTTATTATTTTATTTTCTTACCGTCTTCACTAGTTTTATTTCATTTTCTACTTTCTAACCATATCCACTATTTATTGTATTTTTTTCTGTTTTATTTTAAATACTGTCTCTACCAACTGCTTTTTCTTTTATATGTACTAAACGTCTCCACTTGTATTTTATTTTCTATTTTAAAACTGTCTCCAATAGCTTAATTTTATTTTCTACTTTCCAACCATCTCCACTATATTTGTATTTAATTTCCTATTTTAAAACTGTTTCCGCCAGCTGTAATTTATTTTCTCTTTTTCAATCGTCTCCACTTTTTTATTTTAGGGTTCCCTTTATTTTATTTTTTCGCCACAAACCCCAGTAGTTGTGTAGCCTTTATATTTTATGTTATTTTCTTTTTTCACTAACAGTCGCCACTAGATAA